AAATGGGATAATAGACATAACTAATAAATAGAGAATTTTCAAAAAAAACGATGATAGATTTTTTTTCTAGAACTTACGTAAAGCTGACATAAAAAAGGCAGTAGTTAACATTAATTCTGAATAATTATTAATAAAATTTTGAAAAATACCACAGATAATATTTGTTATCAAACCACCAGCACTTGCTGATGCAAGTACTGTTGCCATACCATTAAATGTAACTTGTATATTATGTGCAAGAATAGTCATTGTTGGACCAATTATTTCACCACAAAGTCCCTAAAAATAAACGAAGTAGTTTCATATTTTCCGTTCATTAGAATGTAGATATCTTACCAACATACACCAACTTAAAACAAGTAATATTGTTTTCATATATTTTTGTATCGTATTTTTCAGTTTTTCTGTCATAGTATAAACTTATAATTGAAAGAAATAAGTATCAAACGAACACATATTTTGAACGTATAAATATATAGAACGAGACGGTCAGTTACGCTCGAATACATTCATATCTTTCTTGTTCTCTTGCGCAAGTATACGAGTTGTGATGTAAAAATATTATAGGAAGAGAACAAAATGTATTACATAAATATCCTTATTATGAAATTTTTTTATTCAAAAGAAAAGATTGGACATTAAATATCAAACTACTGAAGATTGAAAAAAGAGTTGATCCAGTAGAAGTATCTGAGATTCTAGTTCATTATTTCAAATTTAATACATAGATGTTGTGTTTAATTATCCGTTCAATAAATTCAAGATTTTATTTTGCAAATCAAGTTATCAAATCATCTGAGTGTGTTATTGAATAAAAAGCTGTTAGCACAATTCCTATGGGATTCATTAAGGTCAAAGTATGTAAGAGTAAAATATGAAATATTAGTTGAGAAGAGTTAGAAAAATTTAATAAAATGTCAGTTAGTTTTAATAATTATGGTGATTATCACACCAAAACACATCAAAATAAAATTCCAAGCTGAACAGGACACTGTAGCCACTCCAGATGCCAAAACCAACGATTTAAAAGTAGTGGAAACATTCATTGTCGTAACTGTTGTTGTTATTGGTTTGATAGTAGTCGTAGTTATTATAACGTCTATAAAAATAAAAGAAATACCTTCACAATACCATTATCTGATATTTATTTCTTTTCGATATATACTCGACTTTTTTTGATGTAAATTTGAAAATCAAAACAAACATCACATTCAAAAGTAGAAGAATTACCAAAGAAACAGCCACCGTAGTAATTACATTCGCCTTGTTGTTATTTTTCGATGGAAAAGAATTATCTGTTGTTGGCAAAGCAGTTAAAGGGACAGATTCGCTCTCCTTTTCGGAAATGATGATATCCATGATCTAAAATGAGGAAATTTCAAAGATCATCTTTCTAGTATTAACTTACTTTATTAGATTTTATCTCAATATATATTTATGTAGAAGATAAATGGTGATTGTATCGTATTGATGTGTACACATGTGCGTTTATCGATGCATAATATTATTTTATACAACGCTGTATTAAGGTATTGTCTTCTCGATTTTTTTCGTCGTTCTGCACAAATAGTAATTAATATTAATATCAAAATTAACCATCTGAAATGAATGCAAAACTAAGAAATATTTATCATTGAATAACAAAATGAAACATCTTCTATAACTGAATTTTGTCGTTAGTAGATTTCTATTCTAACAGTATTAAAACGAATGTTGATAATGAAGTAAATGTGAATATGATAACTGAAAAATCGAATCTACTGTATTCGATGCTATACCATTAACGCAATTGATATTGCAATGTTGAAGATATTTCGAATAACATTGCAATCATTAAAATAATATTCTTATTTTTATTAGTGCTGGAAAAGGTAGTGATTGATGGGTTAACCTTAAAACTAGTATTAAGTATAATAAGCTTAATTTGGCTTATTGCAGTAAATTAAACGGAAAACTTTTGAGAATAATTTTCGTTTGTCATTTAGGGATGTATATGGATATTTCGTGCAAAATCATCTTGATGGTGGCTGTGGATGCAGGTCTTCTCTTTATCCCACACTAACATTCACCCACAAGCACACCCACACCCACACACCTACACCGCCACCCACTCCATCACACAAATCTACACACACACCTACACCCTTTCACACACCCAAGCCGACAACCACTCCCTCACACAAACCCACACCCACTTCCTCATACACACCCACACCTTCACCCTCAAAATCTTTACCGTTAGAGAATAAAGAAAAGTTTATGACTGAAGAAAGCTTTTATTTATGTGTAGACTAATAGAAAAATGGGTTTTATAACAAGATTAATAATAAAAAACTGTTTTACTACCAACTAAAGCCTACTTTATGACATTGATAACAAGGAGAATGATGTATAAAAAGACAGACTCGTCCACATACCATTTTTTATCATATACAATAGTCTTTTCGAAGAAAACTAAAGCTGATTGAAGGTAAGAGTCTCATAGAAATAAAAATCTTTCGTCATTACTGACTTCAGGCCTATTTTTCAAAAATAAAAAAAGTCATAGTTCTTTATCTTTTGAGTAGTCATTTTATACAGTCTAATTATCATTCTAACTCATCGGTGACTGGAGAAAACCAGAAGAGAAGCTGAAAAATCTGTGTGAAAAAATATTTTCGGTGGATGTTAAATAGAGCAATACAGCCAACTAAAAATAGTTAATAATAAGAAGAACATGCGCTTATAATTTGATCATTCATTCTTTCACTTATTTAAGAGGAGGAGAATAGTAGCTGTATAATAAACACGTACGCACTCACAAAGGTATCTTTTGAGCATCAGCAGAGTCGAAACGCAGTAGATATAAGCGTGAAGATGCAGCTTACACGGAATATCTATTGTATTCAAACGAGATTGAGAGGTGCAACGTATCGTGACGCATCTAAAAACGCTTTCCAGCCTGGTTCTGACAGGTTCATCACCGAGAATGCAACTAAACGCGCTCATACATATTGTTTTCAGACGTTTCTAGTTGCCCTCAATCGTTCGCAAATCTTTTCTTCATTATATTAATTTTCATATTCATACAAGAGAATTTAGTTAGACCTTTGCTACTATGACAAAATATCCGAGAGAAATTCTCAGTGGTAAGGTACCCATGATACAGAATAATTTAGAGATATGTATTTTGTCTTATTATTGCTGTTGAATTGAATCAGTATCAAAACTGGTATCTCTAGACGACTAAATTTCAAAATATATTTTTTAAGCTGTTAGTTCTAGTCTTAAGATAAGAATGATGTTAATATTGTTGGTATGAAGACTTCTTCAAAGTTCAGTAGCATGTTTACGAGAACTGATGTCTGATTATTCATGCTCTGAAATTTGCTTAGGCAGAACTTTTTTTTTACAAACAGCCCATCTTTTGTGCACCTGCCCACTTTACATCCATAGAACCACTTGCGCTTTGAATAATAATGTGTTCGAACGCGTTTCCACAAAACCACCGCGTCGGCAAACACGTCCTAAAAAGCGTTCGAGCAATTCCTCAGACTAGAACGGATTTAGTGAAGGTATGCCAGCTTCGTCAAAATATTGAGCATCTCCTTAGTGCATGCCCAAATAACAATGATTGTGAATTTGAGAGAATAAAGAAACACCCACACCCTCAAGAGGCGGGAGCGACTTCAAAACCGAATTTCTTTTTGCAAACTTAGGTCGAAAATTTTTGCTGGTAGAAACCTTGCATTTAGGTTCAATGTCATCCTCTATAAGTTTCATATGGGTCCCATGCTCTGAACTTGGGATATAACGTTTTTAAAAATCCTAGATCCGCCACTGATAGGAGGTATTGAGATTGGTATTTCTTGAAAGAGTCTAATAAGATTCGCTTATCTCATACTTTCCCTGTATCACATCTGACCATTCCACTGCATTTTTTATGCTTTTTCTCTAGAATTCATGGAAAATAGCGCTAATCAAATCATATTGGTGCTTCTTGTTGCTTGTAAGTAATTTATTCTCCATGGAGAGTTGGACGAATGTTTTTCTCTTTTTTCAAAGTAACCGTGGAGGGAGCTATTTCTTCTACTAAGCAGACAAATTCGTTGCAGCTGGAAGTGTCTGCGAAGAATAGTACTTCTATACCATTCTCTCATTCAATCCCTACCTCACTGCCTCCTCAAATAACTGCCGTGGACGAAGTGCGACAACAAAAAACAGTCCATGAAAACAACACATCGATTACAAGCAATGTATCGTTTGCAGACGTGGAATCTAAGACTGTGAAAGTTGCTGCTACTACTAGAACAACAACACGAAGAATAACGTATTTGACATACAGAACGACATATAATACCAACACCTCCAAGCGTGGTCTCAATGCTGGAGAAATTGTTGGCATTGTAATTGCGGTATTGGCTTGTCTTATTGGAGGCTGTATATGTGCTGCAAAAAAATCGAACAAACCAAAACAAAAGGTAGATGTTTTCAAATACAGCCATAGTGAATATCGCTAAGACAGGTGATTATATTTCATGAAATATTTCCTATTGACTATGAAGTAATTTTTCTGTGATTTTGATAAATTTTTCTGCTGTTTTCAACGGAGCTTCTAAATATACACGTTGGTTTCACAGGAACCGAAGTAAAGTGGTTGAACGCATGAAAATCATCGCATCTTGAGAGTGTGGGTGTGGCTGTGGGTGTGATGTCGGTGCGGGTGTGAGGGTAAATGTGTGGATGTGAATGAGTGACAAGTACAAGACACCTATCCCGCATCCACCCTCAATATCAAGCAAATGTTTTATTTATTTATATTTAGTGTCGCATATTCTCTGTACTATCAAATGAATTCAAAAAACACAATACTGAATTTTTTTTACTTCTACTTCAGTGAAAACAATCTGTGTTCATTTCACAGATAAATAGCCGAGGATATTTTTATAATAATTTCAATATAAAGAAAATAGATGAAAACCATCTTGAATGTGTGGCTGTGGGAGTCTTTTCACTATACTTCAGTGATATCACACCCACACCCATACCCACATCCTCAACAGCTTCGTCAAAGCATGCCGGTTGTGTTATTTTACCGACGCTTTACATATTTCTCACTGCTCTGCTTTGTGAGTCTATGAAAAATGACCTTTAAAGACTATTTCGAACCGATTTGAGTGGGTATGAAACGAAATAATGTGCTCCGTATCTGCTTAGTACATAACAACATAATGTGTACATCGTCTTGATATTCTTTCAACTAATGATGTACAAGGTTTCATGTATGCTCTACCGTTATTCTTTGAGACGAATAATATTGTATAAGTTGCACTGCATGAAGCATCCACAGAGAGCAAAAAACATTTCATTGACGCACATGTTTTTTCTTTCCTCTTTTTCGCGGAAAGGTAATATATTCGCACACGATATATTTGAGTAGCTGCTTTTATTTTCATTTGCGCAGAAAAAATACGAGAAGCAATCAACGAATGGAGCATTGTGTCGACTATCGGCAGTCGGTTTTTACCAACTTGAAAAAAAAAACGGCACAAAATCAATATTTAGACAGCGCAGCATTGAGTCATTGTGTTACCATCCCGAGTAATGAACAAAATTGTTTACGCATATTCTGAAATAAGTCTTGAGGGCGTGGGTGTGGGTGTGGGTGTGGGTGTGTGTGGATGTAGGATGTAGGTGTACTAATGTATGTCATAGGATACAACAACACCCGCATCCGCACCCACACTCACCATCAAGATGTTTGAAATTTTGTTGTTTTGAAAAAGCGACGCATCTTCATTTTATTTACAAACTAATAGTATCATTTAAAGCAAAAAACGATACTAAATGAGCTATTTAATGGGAGTATGTATCGAAAAAATGAACTATCTCTCATTAAAAAAAAAAGAAGCATTTAAAATCAAATCAAATGAATAACATAAGACTTCTTTAGTTCAATTATTTATGTATAGTGATGACACATTTTTGAAAAAAACAAAATAATTCTTTTTCCTATAAATCTATATTATTATGTTTAAAAAAACTGTAGAAATTGTTTGTGACTCTCAATTTTCCGAATCTCTGATTATTTCTTCGAACATAATGGCAATAAATTCTGATTTAGTCACCAATTTATTCAACATATCTTCGGAATTTTTAAAAGAATAAAAATTTGTGATGAAATTCTAACAAGTTATTCATTGCACTATGCAGAGCTTTTAGAGAAATTAATGAGTTGTTGAAATCTGAAAGCGAAAGTGATGGAAAAAAACTGCTTTTATCTCTTCTATACTAAATGTAAAAAATGCAGATACTATAGATATAAAATAACTCATTAAATATTGCTCTTAAAAAGACAGTGCAATTATTGAGTAGAATGTTTGTAGAAGAACAACTCATCAACTTAAATATGAAAAATAATAATAAAATATCAGGATTTTAAGAAAGAAAGAAAAGAAAAATCAAGGAAAATATATTGCTCTCTCTTTTCTTAAAAACACATTCATTTGTTTAATAGTTAACACTTATTCAACATGAGAAATATAATTGTATTTTTTATTATTATTACCCAATCAATATCACAAGATGTAGGTACATTGTTACTAACTAAATTGAACAATATTCAATATCAATGTACTGATCCTGGTTGTTCATCTTCAACTACCACTTTGACATTGAACTTGAGAGCTTGTGAAATTGCGTGTTTAGTTAATATCAACTGTCGGACACTCACGTTTGATCAATCCAATAATCAATGTGAACTCTTCACTGATATTCCAAGTGAATATGGTAGCTTGATAGCACAAGCAGATTCTATAACCTTGACTATCATCGATAATAGAAAATTATCCACTCGTAAGTATCATCAACAGAGTGAATATTTTATGAAAAAAATTCTAATATATTTGTTTTTGTTTTAGCGATGACAATTAGTACAACAGCATCCGTGTAAGTTTGAATCTTAGTATATTGCAAAATGCATTCGTTATACACACATTCTTTGTTGTTAAAATTCTGCAACTATAAGTTTCATGAATGAGAATGAAGAAGAAAGAGAAAATAATGTTGTTTCAGAGTAGTCTCTTAATGAGACTGCATCGCTCAAGTTTTTCACAAAGTACTATATAAGTTTTATTTGTGGATAGATTTTAGTATGGTACTCTACAAAAAAGAAGAGTTCATTTGATTGAGGGTGCGGGTGTGGATATTGTCGTCATCTTACATGCACATCTGAAATAGAAAAGCGGTTGCTTCTAACTATTACTAATTATTTACTTCTAATATTGTTTTTCAAATATACATACAGCCTAACAATAGCATCATTGTCAACGCCGTCATCGACAACAACAACAGCAGCAGCAATACGAGGTAAATAATCGAATAAATGACGAGTATTTTTATTGAGGGTGTGGGTGGACGTAGATAGAAGATGAATCCACACCCACAACCTCTTATTTTTATAGTAAATAAAATGTATCTTTTTCATCCAGTATGGTCTGCCACAGGTCCTATGAATACTATGAGAAACTATCATACCGCATCTACATTAACAAATGGAAAAGTACTAGTTACCGGCGGATATAATGGTGGTGTTTTAAATAGTGCTGAATTATATGATCCATCAACAGGTACCTGGACAACTATTAATGCGATGAGTACATTTCGAAAATTTCATACAGCGACGATGTTAACAAATGGAAATATATTGATTAGCGGTGGAAATGATGGTAATGTCTTTTTAACTAGTACTGAATTATATAACTCATCATCAGGCACTTGGACAACTACAGGAGATATGGAGATTGTACGAGGTGCCCACACAGCAGTCATGTTAACAAATGGAAAAGTATTAGTTAGTGGTGGTGATAGTGGTAATGGTTTTTTAAACAACGCTGCATTGTATGATCCATCAACAGGTATTTGGACAGCTGTTAGTCCGATGAATGCTGAACGTGTTTCTCATGTTGCATGTATATTAACAAATAATAATGTCTTTGTTGCTGGTGGATACGATTATGTTTCTTTGGCTAGTACTGAAATATATAACCCCTCAACAGATATTTGGACAACTACAGCTAATATGAATTTTGCTCGACAGACAGCTACAATATCTGTATTATCAAATGGAAAAATACTAGTTGCCGGTGGAGATGATAGTGGTTCATTAACAACTGCTGAATTATATGATCCATCGTATGACACTTGGACAGTTACAGGTAGTATGAATTGTGCTCGAAGTGGTCATGCAGCATCTGTATTATCCAATGGAAATGTATTAGTTACGGGTGGATGCGACAGTAGTAATGCTGCTGAATTCTATAATCCATCAACAGGAAATTGGATAATCACAGGAGATATGACGGATATACGCTATTATCATACAATATCGAAATTAACAAATGGAACAGTATTAGTTGCTGGTGGTGTTTCTAGCAGTAGCACTTATTTAAATAGTGCAGAATTATATTAATCATCGTAACAATAACAACATTTTCTATTTTAGTTTGCAATATGTATTTCTTTTTCAAATAAAAACTATTCATTCATAAATGCTTTAATAAAACTGTCATTGATCATGCCTTAAACTTTTTGAGAATGGGTGTGGATAAATAAAAGATCAATGCACCCTCAGACTCACCCTCATTTTCTGCTTTTTATATGCCGGATGAGTTTCTATTTAAAAAAAAACATCGACATACTCAACGAAGGAATCATTTGTCATACATACTTATTGCACATAGAGAAATAATGAACGTGATTAAAAGTGAGTCCTGACAAAACACATTATTTAACAAAATCAAATAAAAAAAGACATCAAACTAATCATGACTTATTCATTGACGTCAATCATTTATTGACGATGATAGTTGATATCTTATTTTCAGTTAAAACACGTCCGATGATTAATGCAGATTTTCATCAATTCTTTTTTCTCTTTAGCACGTGCTTCGTCACTAAACTCAAAGATTTTTTCTATAAAGTCAAAAAAAAGAAAACGATTATTTGGAATTTAAATTTCATTTTCTACTTTCGAAGAGAATGACACCCACACCCACATCCACTCATACAAAATGAAGGGTGTGAGTATACGCGCATGAGAAAAGTTGTGGAAAGCATGATCATCTTTCATCCACACCTGCACCCTTAAAATCAATTTGAATCAAGCGTGTTCAGCATGAGTCACAATTGACTAATGCCAGATTGTAAGGAATATTAGATAATTAATCCGAGTTTCACGACTTTGATTATGTTCCAATGGAACTCTTCCTACTAATTGATAAGATTCATCCATTTTCAGAGTGTTCTTCGGGCATATATTGAATTTAAAGTTGAATTCATGCATTTTTTTATATCTCTTAGAAAATACATCGTATCGCGATGAACAATTCTGCTTTTTATATGCGTGATGAGTTTTCATTCTAAAACAGATCGAAATATTCAAAGAAGGAAACTTTTCTCAGAGATACCTATTGCGCATAAAGAAATAAAGAACGTGATTAAAAGTGAATCCTGACAAAACAGATTATTTAACAGAATCAGATAAAAAAAGACATCAAACTAATCATGACTTATTCATTGACGTCAATCATTTATTGACGATGATAGTTGATATCTTATTTTCAGTTACAACACGTTCGATGATTAATGTAGATTTTCATCAATTCTTCTTTCTCTTTATCACGATCTTCTTCACTGGAATCAAAGATTTTTCTATAAAGTCAAAAAGAAAAGAAAAGGATCATGTCGAATTTAAATTCCATTCTGTGTTTTCAAATTTCGAAGAGAATGAAATTTAATGACAAATATTAAATAAAATCATCAGTTTGGTTCATTAATTCAATCTAAAATCAATTTTGTATCTTACCTACGACAAACGACACCTTCTCCAGAATACTATTTTGTGAAACACGATCTAAAAGAGAGTGTTGAAGTGTTTAAGGGCAGAAAATTAACCACCCCCCGGGCCCCCCCCACAGACCGTGACCGACAAGCTCAAATACCATCACAGACCGTGACCAACAGGACTTCAAAGACCACCACAGACCGTGACCGACAGGACTTCAAAGGCTACCACAGACCGTGACCCACGGTACTTCAAAGACCATCACAGACCGTGACCGACAAAGCATCGTGGAATGTGATCGGCAGGCCTACAAGGACTATCAGGAACTTTGACAGATGTAACGGTGAAACTACATTAATTACAATAGGTATGCTTCAAAGTCATAAATATAAGCTATGTTTCTCATAAGCAACACCAGTTACATCGTGTTTCACATTTTTAATCCCGAAGGGATTGCGCTGAAAGCTTTTTTCTCTTTATATTATGTTGGAAGAAATGAATGAGAGAGAAAAAGAGAGAGAAAAAGAAAGAGAGAAAGAGAGATATATAACTAGAGAGAAAATCCATAACCAGTGTCATTTTGTTTTCATTGAAGACAAAGAAGGAGAAGAAGAAGAAGATTATTTTATTAGTTAACTAATTTATCATTAAACCTCTTGTTGAATGATGTGGAATATCTACATATTTCTCATTATTCTTCTGTTCATTTTCAATAATGAAACATCAGGTAAATACTTTTATTTCTTACATATTGAAGATTATCCGTTGCACAAACGACATTATTCATTAGAGTTTTAGTTGAACAGAAGAGAGTCAAAGTATAGATCACAAGATTTGAAAAGAATTCAGTGAGATTTTTCTCATTTATTCAAACGTGATGGTACTGATCTCTTCTAAACTCAACCTAACTCACTTAGAGAATAAACGTCGGCAAAGCGATGTATTTTATTCTTAAACTGCTTTAAAGTTACGAAATCTTTCCATAACTATCAGCGATAAAATATGAGTTATATGTGTGTCACGCACTGGATGAGTCTTTGAATCGTTTATTCGAAAAGATAAATAGATTGAGCGGCTGTTTTTAGACATGGGATATTATTTCATAGTAAAAATCATGGTGAAGCTTTTGATTTTGAGGGTGTGGGTGTGGTGTGGTGTGGGTGAGGGTGTCTATCATGCTGAAGTCTGTCACAGCCACCCACACCCACACCCACACCCACACCCGCACCCACACCCGCACCCACACCCACACCCACACCCACACCCACACCCACACCCACACCC